GGACTGACCCGAAATCAGAGTTGGAATGGGGAAGAAAGAGCACCTAATCAGTCAACTGGGGCATTGTCAGGTGCAGAAATGATCAGGGCTTGAATGTCTGTGTCTGTCTTTAAAGGACCCCGTCTCCTAATATCACCCCTATTCGTAAAAGGAGATGAAAGGATTTGATTTCAGAAAAAACCTCAGGCAGAAAGGTTCGAGGGAGCCAGCAGGACGTGAAGCCCTTGGAGGCCAAAAGCCAGCTCAACCAGGGGATCAGGCAAAGCAGGAACCATCGGCTCCCTGCCCCTTTCTGCTGATGGCCATGGACCACAGGGAGTGGGGTAGATTCCCCCACAGCTCTGAGGCACCAATCCCAGTGGGGCACGCCAACAGCACCTCTGCATCAGGCATCCTGCCAGCATCTGTGCCTTGGCACAAGTTATGTAAATTGTTCTGAGCATGTCGGAAAATAGCTGCAAATACTGAATATACAATGGGAACAACCCCCACGTCGCTTGGAACCAAGGGGAATGTCCTCATTTTGTGTGTTCACACAGAGGGAGAAGCAATGATGTTCTTGTTGAAGAGGACCCTAATATTATAGGAGTCACTTTTAGCAGCAGTAATACTACAGTATTTGTACTCTTATTCATGTAGTCATGATCAGTCTCAATTCCAGAACATACAATCAAGCCAAATTCCTGAGAAGAGTTTCCTTTTGTTAAGTGCCAACACGCAGCTCAGCATAAACAATCCTGTAATTTCAGAACGGGGAGTACCTCAGTACTTTAGTACTTCAATATGATGAGCCTCTTTGCAGGATAGAGGCAAGCCTTTTGATTTTACCTACTTGTAAAAAAGTGCTCCAGGTAACCTAGGCAGGAATTTACCTCTCAACTGCAAGAGAACAGCTGCCAAACAAGAAAACCAAAAAGAATTCTCTGTAATATATTAAAATGCACTGGTATCAGTCACTCCTTGTCTTGCAGCCTCTAGATATGGCTAGACCACAATTTCCATCATCTCGGCCAAGATGATGGGAATTGCTGCTCCAAACACGTGCAGAGTGCTGGGTTGGTAAAGCTCCCACAAAATGTTTGGGTTTTCCACTCCAGAAATGTCACGGGTAATATTTCTATTTGGACAAGCTACTTTCTTTCTACTTCTGAATTCTGAGCACCGTGCGATGTCCTCAGAACTATGAATGGACTACTTAAAATTATGTCTTCTGTGCTGAGGCGGACTACAGAGAAAAGTGCCAGAATATAAATTGTAGCCAAATGAATTTAATGTTAATGAACGGCTTTATTTATTTAATAAACACAGATTGGATCCTGTATAAAGCTTCACATTACTAAATCAGACCACTCTATTTCACTTTTCATGTCAGTCAAAGTTCTTCCTCCCAGTTTTTAATACTGAATTATATCATCCTATTCTAAAGTTTTAATGTAGGAAATGGTTTTTAGTAATCTGAACTATTTTATTCAGTCTCTTGAGCTGTTTAGTTGTGTTTCATGTATTTTAACCTTCTTTAAAGTTAGGATACAATCCTATGCATGCACAGGCCCAGAAAAAGCCCTACAACACTATCTAGACACACCAAAGGTGAGAGAAGTATTGCAAATCAGCAACAGAATAGAACACCTGCCCTTCCCCCAGTTTCTTTGCAAGCAGCAAATGAATTCTGAGAGCTCAGAAGCCCCACAACCTGACTGGTTCCACTGATTCTGCAGAAACCCAGAGCGGAGGATGCTGTGGGGAAAAGAACATTTCCCGTGCTCCAAAAGTGCCAAGGATTAGCAAATGCCACCAAGGATTAGCAAAGTGGAGGGGTGGGGACAGGAAACATTCTATACTTCCTGTGCAATCATTCCCCTCCCAGCCGGTGTCACTTTCATACTCAACATCTAGCTTCCTTTTCATTCCCACATTAATCTGTGATGTTTTTAAATCACCGTGAAAATTTGCATTTATGCACGTTAAACTGATGTATACTTTATCTGCTCTCAAAACATGTTTGCTTTCTTTGCTTGAACAGAGAGCATCCTGGACGTACAATAGCGACCAGTAATTATATTCTGAGTTTTTCTGACTAATGTGCAGCTCAGAAAACATCCTCTCATCCCAGAGTGCATCCACCTTCTCCAGCCGAGTGCCATCAAGGTGCCCTGAAGGAGCGCTTACATCCATATATGCCCAGTCGCCCCCTGAGATCGGCGGGAGAGGCCCTTCTCCGGGAGCCCTCCGTGAGAGAAATTAGGAGGGTGGCTACTCGGAGGAGGGCTTTCTCAGCGGTGGTGCCTAAGTTATGGAATGCGCTCCCCAGAGAGGTCCGCCTGGCGCCGTCGTTATTTGTTTTTTGGCGCCAGGCAAAGACCTTTTTATTTAAGCAACGTTTTAAATGTTAATACCACTGAATTTTATCTGGCCAGGGCGGCTTATTTTATAATGTGTGTTTTAAATTATTATGATTATTTTATATGTATATTTTAACTTATTGGTTTTATTTATGGTTGTAAGCCGCCCCGAGGCTTCGGCGAATGGGGCGGCATAAAAATGTTTTAATAAATAAATAAATAAATCAAGATGTGCTGGACTGCAGCTCCCACCATTCCCAGCCAATGGCCACCCACTCAGCCTCATTTGGCAGGTGCACCTGCAGACGGACTCAGGTGAGGGTCCAGGTAGTTTGATACAAAAGAAGACAATCCTTCAGGTAAACTGACCGCAAATGTCTGTAGCTTTATTAAAGCTGCAAACTCTGAAATGGGCCTAGAAGAAACTGACAGCCGGTGCGCACTGACAGCCGGTGCGCATGGCAAAGTACAACTACATCAAGCAGCCTTTGATTTTTCAAGCAGCAAAGCCACGCCTTGGCTGACAGCACACTGCATTCAAGAGTGTGAGAGGAGACAAGCCATGCCCTGTTGGAGGCACAGGTTTATAATCTCAGGTGCGTCACAGCCAGAACATCCTATCAGGGAAAAGACACTCAGGCAGGCAGGCAAGGCTTGGGGGAGGGGGGTTCACAACCCCAGGAGGCCAGAACATTCATCTCCCTTTGGTCAAGGGCAGCTGCGCATCATGTGCTCTAAGCCCCAGGGCTGGCAGATCTAAGCATGTGCACTTAAATTAACACATCTCTCTCCAACACCAAAGCAAGCTGGGTAACGAGGCCACTCTATAAGCAGCCAGCAGAACAATTTGCACTCCTTTCTCACCTTTTAATGCAGAGAGGCTGAAGCTTAAATCCGTTTTTCAAAGTGGGGGAGAGAATGAGAGCAGCACAGCCCTTCCTGGCCAAATCCAGGTTAAGCAGTAGCCTCCCATGAACTTAGAATAGAAAAATGAACCTTCCAGTCTTCCCAGACTCAAGGTAACTTCTTGGATCACTTCTCTGATCCCAGACCAAAGGTGTCAATCCCCCCCCCCCCCCCCCAGTGTGAAAGAAGCTAAAGGATACAGTCCCTGTTCTATGAGGTGATCTAACAACCTGTGGTTAACAAACCACTGTTTGTAAGCCTGTTCCCACCTGCTTAGCCACATCTCCTTTCTGAAAACCACCCAGGAATGCCCTGTGATGTGTGAAGCTCAAAATCCTAGGTTGTTTAGGGTTTAAACAACCCAAAGTGACCTCAACCACCAATAACCATATATTAGGATAAGATTGGATAAGAATCCTTGGATGCAGAAGCACAGGATAAGCCCCACCATAGTGGAGTACTTATTACTGTGATATTGAACCCTCTGTTAAAACCCTCTGTCAAAAATTCCATGGGCACAGCAATTGTCCAGATTTGGCTCCCTTTGGAAAGAGGGCACCGACCACTTGTTGACATTTGGTAACAGTCATGGTCTCTCTGACTCAAACTGGACTCGTCACATATGTCCACTCTGCTTGGGGCTGATCGGACATGTAGTCCGAAAGAAAGACCTAGTTTCCCAGCTTCCCCAACTGGAGGAGGGAGAGAAACCCACTCATTCAACAGGAAGCCCCAAACATTTTTGGCATTCTGTGTATAGCCCTGAGGGCGTGAGCTTACAAATATGATGGGGGGGGGAGAAATAACCGAAGAACAAGAGGAAGGAGAAGCAAGAAAAGAATACACCATTGTTTCAGCTGGATATGTGGAGTCTTGGGTTAGTTACAGGAAGTCAGGGCAATCAGAAAAAAGCAGGCTTTTCCAGCCTGAGGCCTGTGTCCGTCCCCCCCCCCCCACCATAGCTAGCAGGGCTAATGATTCTAAGTTTTATTCCAACATCTGGAGGGCACCAGGTTGGAGAAGGCTGCTGGAAGTGGCTTTCCTTAGGGGAGCAATGCAAACGCTTTTCAGCTTCTGAATGTTTATCTTCCAGCTAATGTCTCCTTAAAGCACAGACCTACACGCCTATTCAGAAATCCCACGGAGATCAACGGGATTTCCTCCCAGGAAAGTGTGCAGAGGAGTGCAGCCTGCTCTCCTTCCCCTGCGTCCAGTTTAGCGGATTCTATAAGCCGCTGTGTTGCGTCGGGCAATGTTTATGCAAGTCCCTTTATGCGTCTTCCAAGAGACTCAAAATAGATGCAAGCCCCTTAATTGAAGAAAGAGAGGCGGAGCCTTTAGAAAGTTCGCTGACTAAGACCATTTTGTGTTCCTAAGTTCACCAACTTTTGAAACAAATTGCAACTTTCCTCGGTGGGTCCGGTTATCTCCCCCGAATCGCACGGCTGCCCCCAATCTATGGGCACCACCAGAGGGGAGACTGTGCACCAAAGTGACCCCCGATCGCTCGAATCCTGCCTCTTTCCCCACTCCGCATCCACAAACCGGATTAACCCCCTCCCCACACGCACGCGCGCGCGCCCCGGCTCCTGGGGACCCGCGCAGGAGCCGAAGCTCCTCCGTAAGCGCCCCGAGAGTGCGCAGGGCAGCCAAGGCGCTTGGAGAGGCACCCCGACCTCCTCCGGGGAGCCGAGCGAGGGGCCCGCGCGGCGAAGCGCGGCGGGGGACCTCGCTCCGTCCTCCGCGACTCACTCTTGTGCCTGCCACTGCCCCAGCTCTGCTTGGCGATGCTGGGGCTCCGCACGATGGCCCGTCCGGCGGACTTGAGGGCATCCATGCTGCTCCGTCGGCCAAACCAGGACCAGGCGCTCCCCGCCTCGGAAGTGCCGCCGCAAAAGTCTCGGCAAACTTTTTCCAGCGCCAGGGGCCGCCCTCCTCCCGCCCGCTCGGCCCTCCTCCCGCTCGCTCGCTCGCTGGCTCCACCGCCCCGCCTTCTCCGGGGGGAGAGGCGGGCAGCCACCCGCCCTCGCCCGGCAGCACTGGCGCTGGCAGGGGCGCGCTCGCCGGTGCCAGGCGGTGGAAGGCGCTTCTGGCGCCGCCCGGCCTGCGCCTGGCAGGGCAAACAAACTTCTGCAGCAGGCCAAGCCCGGAGGCGAGCTCGTCTCGCGGGCCTACCAGCCCGGAGAGCCTTCCTGGGGCCGCTCGCCCCGCTGCTGCCCGTCCCTCCCGTGCCCCCGCTGCGGTTGCCAGCACCCCGCCCGGAGAGGAAGGCGCGCGCCCGCAGAGCCGCGGCCCCCGGGCCTGCTCCTCTGCGCTTCGGTCTGCGGTGCAAGTAACCGAGCCGCGCGGGGGGGGGGGGGGGGGGTCCCCCCTGCAGGGGCTGCATTCCCCCCCAAAGCCGGGGGGGGGGGCTTGCAGCTACAGCGCACACAAATGTAAACACACTCTTGCGATCAAACATCTCGAGAGTTAGCCGCTTCGGTCCATGGAGTGGGGGGGAGGGAGGCTCTTTTTCTCAGACCACCCAAAATCAAGCAAGCTCAAAATTCTCGCGCATTTCATGGGGAACGAAACAAGCAAACCGGGAGGGGGAGAGAAAGCGGGGACCTCACTGGGAGCCTGTTGAAGCGCGAAACGGAGGCAGCGGCAGAAAATGAAAGCACAAGCGCCGACAGGCCGGGAGCTGATCCTCGCCAGCCGCTTCCCTCGCGGGGCTGTTCCTCCACTAATCGCCTTACGCCCGCGCGTGCTCCAGCCCGGCGTTTGGCACGGGCTGGCACGGTCGGAAAGGGTGCGTTGCAAGGGCAGCGTCTGCCAGGGCTGGGTAGCCCTGCCCACTTGGGAACGTGCTTCCTCCATACCTCGCACGCCCCAGAGTTCAAATGACACGATAATCCTGGAGAGTGGGTTGTTGTTGAACTCCGAGCTGCCGTCTGAATCCAGCTGAGTGAACAAGCAGTGATGAACAACCCGCCATTCATAACAAGAAACTATAGGCTTAAGAAAGACGGTTTTGATTTTTAATGTACTGTAATTTTGTTTTATATTGTACTTTATTGTATTACTTCTGCCTGCTGCATGGAGAGCTGCAGTTAGTGGGCAATACAGCCGAAGGGGTGGGTGGGTGGGTGGGGGTGGGTCTCTCTCTCTCTCTCGCATTTGCTTGTTAACATGGCTGGATTCAGACAACATGATAAGGCTCGAGACTACTATACCTGACAAAACACGTCTCCTCACAGCAATCTTCTCAGACAGAACTGCAAAGGTCTGGGACCTGCCTCTAAGGAAGGCTCACTTGGAGACCACAAGGAGAGGAAGGGCCTTTTCGGTAGTTGGCCCCCACCTTTGGAACAAGCTCCCTATCATGGTTTGGGAGATGAGTAGCAGGACCCAGGCAACAGAAGCAAGGCAGACATAGTCCAAAGTCCAATATTTGAATCAGAGCCAGAAACAGGTACCTGAGACAGGATAACCAGGCAAGATGCAGGAACAGCAAAGGAGAGGCAGAAAATCCCTATTGTTAAAAGAGCCACTGCAGCCCAGAGCTTCCTCTTATATAGCTCCTTCCCTGGGGCTCCCAGCTGGCACTTATTAAGAGTCTACAAGCTCCAGCAGGCCCTGGGACCAATCCTGTAAATACCACAGCGGTTGTTCTGGTTCTGGCCACCAGAGGGAGACCTGGAGTTGCCCAGATCCTGACACTCCTCACTGAGGCCTTCCTGGCACTAACTTAACTCTTTGGCACCACCTTAAGACTGCATTCAACAGGACCCTACGGGGCAACTCCCTGGTTTGCTATTACTTCGAGGCTTATGGTAGCTGCTTAAACAGATCTTATGATTTAATCTGCATAGCTTTTACATTACATAACCGAAGGACAGAAACACACCAAGGGTTAACCTTTGCATTCAAGCAAGGCTGATCTTACAGCCCTTCCTGTCTGGGAAGCTCCAGCAGCCAGGTGGGTAGGATGGCTGCTTCCAAGGCCTAGGGCACTCGGCTGCCCTAGTGGATGCTGCCCCAGATGGTTGCCAAAGCGGTGAAGCCGTACACTACCCGGTGTTTCTCTGTTCAGGGCACATGGCACCAGGTCTCATGGAAGGTACATGTGCATAGCTGTCTTTACCTAGGACATAGAGAAACAAAGGACCGTGATTAAATAATACAAGGTACCAGTTGGGCCTGCCAAGTCCAAATCTACAGAAAATAAGAACAGTGGCATGTCTGTCTATGGGGGATAATACATTGGCAATGATGCACTGGCAAATTTAGAAGTGGGGGGGGTCCCTTTGTGATAGACAGAGGCGCCTCTCAAAGCCACACCCCCATCAAAGCCACACACACAAGCCCCAACTATGTCCAAGATTATGCAACCTATATGATTATAAAATAAAAATGAGCTTTGTCACTTTGTTTGAATTTCTGTTGAGTAATGAATGCAAGATGAAGGTATCTCTTTTTGAGGTGAGACAATGACAGCTTCTAGAAATTATTTCTTATTATCTTATGTATTATGAATGAGCGATTTTTATGCATTCATATCTCATTCTGTAGCCAAAAGATCCCAGAGTGGCTTCTGTGGAATTAATAAGGTAGTTCCTGCCTATGGGCTTACTATGTAAAACCTGACATACAAGAGGAAAGGGGTGGGGAGGGAAGAGGAAAAAAGGACATTCAGGCACTAATTATCACACTTAAAGAATCAGAGGTGGTGATGTTCTCCCAAGAGCAGCAGTCTGGATAGACAATCACAGTTTCATTTCTTTTGATTTTCTGTGGCCTCTGATGTTGTGTGTGCCTCTGCGTGGGAGATCCTCCATGAGTCCAGAGTCGTGGGCTTCCAATTTCTCAAAATGTCCAATAATGTCCACACTTTTATTGTGCTGTCACTGGATCTACACTGAATCATGGATAAAGCAGCCTAACTTAAGGCTGTCAGAAGTCACTGCAAAATGTTCCCTTTGATTCCAGTGAATATACTCCAGTGACAATACCTGTATTCCATTTTAGCCATTATTTCTTCCAAATAATTCTGGAGCAAAGAGCTGCCAGAGAAGAGCGATTTGCCTCTCAGAGCTACAGTTCTCAGAATTGTTTATCAGTCAAGCACTCCTCCCCAAGAACTCTGGAAACAGGAGCTCTCTGGGTGAGGAAGAGGCATCCACTAATGACACCCAGCACCCTTGACAAACTACGGAGTGGCAACTGTTTAAAGTGGAATAAAAGTGTTCTGAATGTGCGGTGTGAATGCAAGGGGGTGGGAGGAGTGTGGCTGAGGAGCAGAGGCTGACCAGGAGGGAACGTGACAGAGAAAAAACAGGTGCCTGCCTGGCAGGCCCCTCCAGATGGGTAGTTCCCAGGAATTGTTGGGAACTGTTGAAAAAACACCCGTTCTTAACCCATCACATTCAGGACTGACACAGTGGCGGCTGCCAGCCATGAACCAGTCTCTGGAGAGCTGGTGGGGGAGGGACAGTGATCCCCGCAGAGGGCCCGCTCGAAAATAATTGAGGGTGCTCCAACCCCGTGACCCCCTCCACTACACTTCTGCACATCACACACCTGATAAAGTGAGTCCCTGTACACAAAAATCTATGCCTCAATGAATATGTTTGTCTTTTTCTGGAAGCCAGGTGATCAAACAGATGCAAATGCACCATTGTCTAATCAGAGATGAATCCTGCCGGTCCAGCAGGGCGCAGGTGAGCATCCAGGCATAGCCCTCTCATCAGAACCTTCCCAGGAGATCATTTATGTTTACTGAGACTCTCCCTCCCTCCCTCCCGGCTTACAAAAGCTCCTTATGTTTATTCCTATTATTAGCAACCCTATATTTCTAAGGAGAGGTGAGATATATTCTAATTCATATTTCTTTTTGATGCTTGTTATGGCTTGTTGATGCCTATTAGCCATGCTAGACCAAAGGAACCCCTGAAATCGTACTCGTCGGAGCAGCTGGCATGGCCAGCAGTAAAGCAAATGGATGGCAGTAAAGCAAAAGTCCGGCCTTGTGCAAGGGTTGTGGGGCATGTGCAGGGTGGAAGTGCTCGCCAGGGTGGGGCACGGGCACCTGCAACACGGGGGGGGGGGGAATATTGTGAGGCAGAGATAGAGAAGCCACTGCTTTCTTGGTTTTGTTTCGAGAGGACACTGCTATGAACTGTGATGGGAACTGAGGGCCAAAGGAACTGGAGGGCATCACGTAATTGATACACCTTTGGATATGCAAATTGCAGGCGTGGCTTCCGACCTCCTTGATCCATGTCGGGGCCACAGAGGGGGAAGAAAGCCCCTTCTTCCACAATGCCGGGTCCCTGGTCCAGGCTGGGGGCCCAGCGGTTACGAGAGAGAGAGAACGTAGCTGCTAAAGGCGTCTTCAAAGTAATGTGTAGCTCAGCCCATGGCCAAGAAGCAAGCCCAGTGGTTGCTATGCAGCTGCCTGCAGCACGAGCGAGATGCCTGGATGGGAGGAGGGCGAGGCAGGCCAGCGACTTCTCAAGCAGCACTGGTGGGAACAGGCAGGCTGGGCCAGAGACCGTGAGCTCGACCAGACTGGGGTGCCGCACGGAGGACCCAGCGTCGCACAAGCGGCGTGTGTACCTAGGCCTGCCAGCGTGCTGCTGGTTGGCTTTATCACAAGGTGCTCCTCACCCTCCGGCCCGGCGGAGTGCACCAGGGCAAACGTCTGGGGCCCTGCAGCCCTGGGGAAGGCTAAATGACCCGCCAGAGAGTGACAGGCATCAGTGGCAGCAGGCGGGAACAGTATTTTAGTCCTGCAATCAAGGCCATGTTATGATTTAAGTAAGATGCAAAACTGAACATGCTTGGTTATTTTTGCTCTGATGTATCGAGGCAGAAGCAGTTCTGAAGCATGGAATGGCAGATGGAGGAAAAAGAAACACTTCAAAAGCGAGGGAATACGCAATACGGTCTAAAGCCACCTCCACGAGACCATTATGTCCAGTGTCTAAAACAGGGCTGGGCTAATTTTGGATGATCTGTGGGTCATTTCTGACCACAGAGCCCCCAACCCTGCGGGCCACAGGCAACCCTCAATTTAAAACAAATGGGGAAAATGGAATCGGCAGTGAACGTGGTGCTCCTGAGGAACCTACTTTTGCTTAGCGGTTGAACAGCTGCACTGGGGAGAGCGTCTTAGTGGCCCACAGGCTACAAAACTTCTGGCTGCCCTGGTCTGCAATCCCCTTGCCGCCCGCACGAGCCAGACCCGCCCAGCTCCTCTCTGGAGCCGTGTTGCTTGTTTTGTCATCTCAGAGAATAATGGCAAGATGGCTGCCTGCGCTGCATGTCTGAACTTTCATTACTTCCTAAACACCCTGGCAGAATAACATCTGGCAGACCAAACACCTGCTCGCTGCTGAAGCTGTCAGTTCAGACTTATTGTTACTGTATGTCACACAGCAGCGTCGGCCGAGATGCTGTGTACATCCTGGACTTTCCACGCAGCTCTCATGAAGTCTGGGGGGAAATAAGACCAAACACCAAATTATTGCCATTGCTGGCCATTTCATGAAGCAAGTCCAGATTCTCAACTCTTCCGTAGCAATCCCCCAGCCTGCCACCCACTATAAATCTCCTTGTGATTTAGGCTCTCCCCCTCCCTATTTGCCTTCCGTCTCCTTCTCAGATGCAGTTTTCTGTTTTGCCTTGCCGTTAATCAATCTCTCTCTCTAGCAACACTGTTTACTTTATACAGTAGGTGGGTTTGATTCTGTCGTGCAGTTTCTTCTCTTTGCCCCATCACCTTTTCTCTGCCACCCCCTTTTCTCTGCTCCCTTCCTCCCTTTCCTTCTGCAGCTGTTAAAAAAGAAGGGTCACTGGCCAGAATACCAAGCAACGCAGCCGGCACTCAGATCACTCCCACACCTCCTGCTTCATCCCCAGCAATGTTTCCAAGCTCCTTCCTGCCAACTAACCTGTGACCTTTCAGCTCACTTTAAGGTACATGGCGTGTACTTGATGCTTCGCAGGTTTCACAGGGCTTTGCTTTCTCTGCCCAGAGGACAAGCCTTGGCTGCACGGCGTTTTCTCTCGTCGAGCCTTTCCCCCTGCCACGCACAGGCCTGTCACCACAATGTACAAGACGCTGCCAGTGTTGGATAATTATTTTTTATAACTTCTTTTCCCCCTCTAGCAAGAGAGCAAGTCAAAAGATCCGGAAACAGATTTAGCCCGAGACCAAAAAAACAGGCAAGCTTTGAGTAAAAAGCTCTGCTCTTCTGATTATTGAAAGTTAGTGTTTTTACTGCTTGCTATTATCCCAGTGAAGGGCCATCTGCCTGACCCACGCATATTTATTAATTTGATTATTTTTGGACCAGACTGCCTGAATGGGGGAACCAGTCCCGCTTTCGAGCGCTGCACAGATGCTCTTGCGCTTGCCTTGCCTTGACAGCATCCTTTTTTGCTGGACGTTCATTCACTTCTCTCCTGGCCATATTGACTGTGCCAGCTCAGCCGCTAACAGTGTGTGGGAGTAGCGGAACATATTTCTCCAAAGTGTCATCACAGCTTGAAGTTGGGAGACCGTGACGCTGCGGCAAGCGGCTTGGAGAGCACAGAAATCAATCAGGACTGTCCCCTTCTAGCTTCTCCCTGTGGGTAAGGATTAGCATTTTAAAAAGCAAGCAAGCGAACATATCGCAAATGTTGATGCGAGCCGTAGAAAAAAATGTTTCTGAGCATGCTAGGCTGGAAAGACATATTGCCCTCAGTCTGCTGCAAAAGGCAGCTGCTTGCCGAATTCTCCCTCCGTAACGTTGTGCACAGGATGGTGCTTGTGTGCCCTTTTAGGGAGTACGCATGGGAAGAATGGGCCACGCGTATCGGTCCTGCCCTGGCACTGGCAAGCCAGACTGCCAGTGTCCACAGAGGCCTCCACTCCCTGAAAGGGGCCAACACACGTGGAGACACGTACCTTGCAAGCGGAGAGCAGCACGCGTGCCTCCCCCTCGCCAGCCGCCCCGGGGGGATCGGGCTCCCAGCCGCAAAGAGGAACCAAGAGTGGCACACGCTGCCCTTTCCCACATTTCTCCAAATATGCAGCCGCCCCACTCAGGGCCAGTGGGCAAAGCCAGCTTCTCCCTCTCTGCATTTGGTACATTTGTTAGAGAAGGCAAACGTCAGTGGCGCGCCACTGTCTCCGCACTTGCTTTCCCCAATATTAGAAACAAAGAAACAGAGCGAGTCAGAAGTGGTCTCCCGGGCCATCTAGTCTGACCCCCGGCTCCAGCTGGCTCCGCTCACGACATGCCCGCCATATTCTCTGTCACTGGCTGCTGCTGAAGTGGGGGAAGAGAAAGGCCCGACATGAGGCCTTGCACAGGTTTCCTGATCTTACAGGGCAGCTGAGGATCCTCCAACCCAAAGCCATACCCAGCCGGGGTGGGGGTGGGGGGGACCTGGCTTGCAGGTATTCCCGAAAAAGCCACACCCCTGCCTTGTGACCACCCTTGGCTGCGGCTTCCCAGCCTTTGTGCTGCCTTCTCCCATTTTAAATGGCCGAAGTGCCTCTCCTGCAGCTCGGGAATTGTTCTAAGCTAGCGTAGCATGGCATTTTTAATATGTTTGGCTCCCAGTCTCTCTTCTCCCTCTTCTTTTCAGAACCCTCCAGCCTGACTTCTGGCTACCCCCCAGGCAGAGCAGAACAAAAGTTGCCAGTTCAAGAGCCACAGAGCTGGGAGGGGGGATCCTAAATCACTGTGCAGTCAGAGCTACTGAGTCCCGCAGGGTTCCTGCAAGGTAATTTCGACTGACCCCAAACACATAACAATAAGCCCTGAATAGATCACGAACTCAGTTTCTCTCCCTCAGTGCTCTGCCCCGATCCGTCCAGAACAGCGCAGGAGCTCAGCAATGGAAAATATTTAGCCCTTTTTGCTTGCTCCATCTGAAAACAAGCAGCACATACCCTTGAAAGCCATCCAGAGACTTTTATTTTTTTGTAATGGTTGGCATAGAAAAACTTTAAATAAATTAATAAAATACTCTCACGTCCGCAAATTTCTTCTGGACTGGAGCACATTTTAGTCCTCAGCTCTCATTACAGACAGACAGCCATGCAATTCACTTAGAACTGTTGGAGAGTCATTGTTTCTTGGCCTGTCCTACCTCACAGGGTGGTTGTAAAGATAAATATGGAGAAAGCTGAGGAAGACTCATTTCTGAGTTCCTTGGGGAAGCGTTGCAATAGAAATATACTAAATATATGAACAAACAAATGCAGTTCTAGAACAGGCAGCCTTACTATACACAAACCCCTCCCCAACCACGAGCCTTCCAGGTGTGCCACAGCTGGAGGGCACCGCATTGTGACAGGCTGATGCAATGCATCAAACCTGCAAGCCTTCCATGGGAGCAAGTTTCATGGAAACCAATTAGGCTTTTTCCGAGTAGAAAAAGTGGCAGCAAGGAGTAAATTCTCGTTTTCCTTCATTGTTGGTAAGTTACTCTGGGAGCCATTTCAGCTGAAGAGTAGGAAAAATCCTTGAAGTAGAAAATAGCAGTGCAACCAGAGCGTTAGTCCACTCTTAATGTGTTTTGTTTCCCCTTATAGTTTCCCCTTTTGTTTTCCCCTTACAGGCTGATCAGTTGTTTCAGTAGCACAAGCCCTCCCCGTCATTATCACCATTATCAACATGGCATGTATTGCTCCTTTCTTCCTCTTGCAAGGATCCCAGAGCAGCTTACAAGACCTGCCTCTCCATTTTTATCCGCAGAACAACCCTGGGAGCTTCATGGCACAGTGGGAACTTGAGCTTGGTTCTCCTAAGTCCAAAGCACGCTTCACCAGGCGACCCAGGATCATGATCCTTTGCCTGAAGTAGTACCTTTCGCACAACTGGCTTGAGGACTCTATTAAGGTCCTCCATTCTGCTAGATGGAAAAAAGAGACCCATCTTTTGGTCCTGACTCCATCTGCTGCAGACACATTTCCACTGCGGAATGCCCTGGGGGATGGCGATGACACAGACTTGCCATCCTGCTAGCAAGCTTCTGGGTTCCCTGTAGCCAAAGCAGAGCAGCAAAAGCTGGAGCTTTGCTTTTAAATTCCTGAAAGTACAGAAGATGCTGAAAGCAAGCTGCAGCTCCCTCCATGGTTTGCATCTTCTCCCCACCAAAGTTGCTCTGTGTGTTGCAGCAAAGCAGTTTCAACTTGACTGCGTGTCCAGTAAGATCAGGATTCTTTCTGCAGGTGTTTTCCCCAACGCACAGGGACAGGCACATGCATCAGTAAAACACCACACAGAAGATCATGCAAGCAACTGCACATACTCTGTCAAAATTGCTTCCTTACGGTGTTTTATCAGCATGCACTTCTGCATTGGTATCATGATGTGGGGACACGTATTAAGTGTTGAATGCGCACAGGCTTGCATTGTAATGTGTGGGTCTAGTTCTTCTGATCTGCCCAGAGAATTTCTGTTGTTGGATGAATTAAAATATATTTAAAAACATACATAAATGTAAATAGTCTGGAGACAATGGCAAGCTTCATGTGCAACCATTCTGAAATTCTCCCAGCATTTAAAAGAACAGACTGAAAACAGAGCAATCCAAGCGACAGTAAAGAAACAGACCTGCAGGTGGGAGGGGTGGGGGTGCAGCATCTGCTTATCCCCAAAAACTTAGTGCGGCTTGAGCAGTCCCACCAGAAAAACTGGTGTTACACACCTCGCACCAGCGTCTCCGACTCATGGGTACGCTTCTTCTCAGTTGTTTTTGTTTGCCAACTATTTTTTGCTCGCTTTATGCTCTCTAATCCTTTACAGAAGTGCACATAATCAGTTTGTTCTGCTAAAAGTAGATGAGTCGCTCCACATTAACATCAGTCACAACCTAAGCTGGAAGCTAGGATCTAGGAGTTATAATTTCAGGCACCAGATATTATTTCGGGGGGATATTCCAATTCTGCAACTGGGATAAAATAGGAAGGGTTTAAACCCCAAGTTCTTTCCATGCTGAATGTGAAGATCTTTGCAACTTCAGTAAATTCTTATAAATATTCAGCTGCACCAGCCAAATCCTAAAGGCAAAGCATGGAAACCACGATGATGATGATGATGTACTTGCTTGCACAAGGAATCTGTCAGGAAAAAAAAGATGCAGCAGCAACCCTGGTTCAGCTACAATGAAGTGGATGTGCAGGAATTCAGACTTAGAAAAGAATGCAAAGCCACAAGTCTGGGTGGATGGATACATATGTTTTTTAAAAGATCACTTTCCTTTTGTCCTGCCTGTGCAGGACTTTGCAAACGTTAGGGTAATTCTAATTAAAACCAGGGCTTTTTTGTCATAGAACTGAACGGTGTTCTGGCACCTTTTGACGGATTTTTCCAAGTGATTGTGATTCGCCCTGTTGGGCGTAGTAGATCCGCGGCAAAAATCATTAACATAGTGTCTGCGGGCTGCTTGTGTGTCGGCGCTGCTTGTGAGTGCGCTGCTCGGCTTGGGATCGGTCGTGTGGTCACACGCTGAGTGCTCACTGCCGGCGGTGACCATTGTGTAAAAGTGTGACCCCAAGACGTGAGTTCCAGCACTTTTTTTTTTTTTTTTACAAAAAAAGCACAGATTAGAAGCAAACTGAAATGACGTTGCACCCAGTTTCTGCCAGTAGCGCCAGAATCTCACCCCCCATCCCTCCAACGGCTGTTCCCTTCTGAATACCACGTGGCCTATCCTAACCTAGTCAGTTGGCCCCCAGGCTGGGTGGAAGATGCCATCTTATGTGGTCTGAGTTCAGGTAAGATTCAACTGCCAGTCCAGTCAGCTTTTGATCATGGCAGAGACAACAGGTAAGGCTGGATAGATTTGCCGGATTCATATTTGTGTTTTTAAAACTCAACTTCTTTCTGTCCCATTTATGAAGAAACTGCCAGTCTTCTTAAGTTCCCACTAAAAAGAAATCTCACCTACCCGCAACAGCCAAATTCAACAGGTGCAGCTTTTCCAGCATGAAGAGAACCATGTGTACCAGCATGCACACATTTTAAAAGCGCATGAAAAAATGTGTACTTTTGGAAAATGTATTTCTTTTATATTCAAATTTATAGGCTGAGGAATAGCCTTCTAAGGCTATTGTGAGCAAAAATGTCGGCAAATTCACTTGAGTCACTGGAAGACGATGGTGCCCAGTGCAAAAATGTATACAATTACATATATTTAATATAATATGCATTAAAATGTGCTTGGATTTTCATGCAAAAAGGGAAAAGCAAAACTCACAGTCTCGGGTCAGGACCAAGCTTGGAGGTAGAACTTTGGTGAGGTTCCGCTATGCAGATTCAGCTATTGCTAGGCACGTGCTTTGGATCCAGAAGGTCCCTGGTCACATTTTTGATATTGCCTTTTAAAATAATGAGAAGAATCAGAGGATGGTAAGTACGTTTCTTGGCTTGGGATGCTAGAGAACCACGGAGAGTCAAGAGGAAGCAATGAGGGCAGACTTGCTATAAAGCTACTGCCTGAGTTGTCCAGACTTCCTGGTGGTTCTTTCAAGAAATCTGCCCACTTTTCAGTTTTCAGACCACTAGAAAGCAGCTGTGCAATCCTATATTGGCTGGACCACATTGAGAGGCTGCTTTTCTGCCTAAATAAGCACCTTAAAAGCTGAGCTAGGAGTCAGAATGTTGCCAGTTTACATCTCAGCTCTGCCACGAAGGTACTAAGTGGCCTTGGGCACATCATTCCCTCTCGAGCCTCAGTCCTCTCACCCACCCCTTCTGTGATCTGGGGATAAGAATACCAAATCAGCATGCAGGTGGCCTTGTGTCCTACTTGCAGAGGACAGTCCTCTACTCAAGGGTCTATCAGAAGGCGGTCTGCTGTTTTAAGGCATCTTCTCTTTGAAAGGCTGCCCAGTCCAGGTCTGGCTTAAACCTGAAGGGGAACAACTTTGCAGCAGTATTTAGTACCTAGATAAGAACGTGGGTGGAAGCACCCGGATCTTCAGCTCTGAGCCTTCCTTGCAACAATGAGAATTATGATATTTCTATTGAAGTTTTGGTTCTTCCTCTTCTATTTCCATCACTAACCGTGAATTAACATCTTTGTGTAAACCTGCCTCCCCGCTTTGCCCTCTTTTCGGGTGCCGTGTAAGGGATCGTACTACTGGCTGCCAGAAGGATTGCCCCAAGCTCTTTGCACGCTGGAGAGTCTTGCAGCTGCCTCGCTTGAGGGGTCCGGTGGGCAGCTGCTTGCCACCGTGTGGATCCAGTGCTGGACTCGACGGACCTTTGGGCGAATCCATGGCTTTTTTCTTGTGGTGCACCCTGGGGGGGGGGGGGGGGGGGATTGGCAGTGAGCCCGATGAGAAACGTTGCTGCAAATGGAACTGCTAATGCAAGCGCTGCTGGAATTAATCCCAAAGAGTATAACAAGCCTTCTAATATTAGCAACACTATAGTTCAATTTCTCCACGCTCATAATCACAGCCGTTTTTCAGAGCAGCCATCACAAAAGCGGCTTCCGTGGGTCCCTGCCTGACGGCCGCGTCGCCATTCTTCCTTAGGCGACCCCTCCCCACCCCAACACATGGCCCGACACCTGCTGGTCTTTCCAGACACACACCAACATACTTGCTTTAGGCCTGCGTTGTGAAATCGTGTTGTTTTTATTTTGAAGTCCAGGTTGTGGCAGTACATTAAATTTCCTGTGCAGCCAACCTTTGAGGCCACATGCACATAAAACAACAGATGGATGCCGGCCGGCTGTTCTAGTTGGGAAGACTTTGGAGCTAATAATAATTGTAAACATCGCTTTTCATCTTCTTTTAATCCTCATAATCTCCTTTACTCAGAAGCCTGGATTGTTGTTTGCTTTGTGCGCTCGGTTCCCTCCTTCCAGCAAGACCAAGCTGACGTCGCCCGGCCCACATTAGCTCTGCAGGTTTCGTTCTGCAGAAGAGGCCCGAGTTGTAGTCAAGTGCAATTCTATTTGCATAATATTTTTTCTCGGTATCTGCTTTGTGGCGTGGAGTTTCACTTTCTAACGGCCACAGCTTTTATCTTAAGCAGTTACATTTCCAACGGCTAGGATCGTGAAAATATTTTTGGACAGGATGGGAAATGGGTTTCTGCATCAAGTCCTTGTGACAGAGTGTGTGTGTGTGTGAGACTTTCGGTGAGGATGGACTGCATGCAGCCTCACATAACAGAGCTAGTGCTGCTTTTTCCAGCATCTGGTGCATTTTTTCCACCTTCCATCTTGATCACAGACCTGGGCTTTTAAGAGGCAGAATTTGCAGGGTGTGTCTCCTGTGCCACTGAATACAGCATGCAAGGTTCTGCCCTCAGTGTGCCCCAGGTGTGAGAAAGACGGAAACCCTGTAACTGTGACGTTTCCTCAGATTGCAGATGGGTTGCCACCTGTTAGATTGGCCACGTGTCCTACTTTACAGAGGACAGTCCTCATTTGAAGCCATCCTCTCTCTGAAGGGCTGTCCAGGCAAAAGCCGTGAAGGGAGGTTCAAGTTGCCCCTCAACAGAGCTTGAGACGGGGCAAGCCCACAAGACACGTGGTCACAATCTTCCTATCTGTGCTCTGATGTCCTTTTTCCTATTTATATTGCATAATCATGGCTAGCATCCCGTACAGACTGGATAAAGCTGCAGCCATAGCTTTGGTTGTAGGCTTCTCATTCCGCCTCCAGGCGCCAAGCCGTGCGGCCGTAAAAGTTTGCGCGGCATCTCCGTCCCGTGCGCTCTCCTGCCATTCTTCAGGCCCAGCCTTTCAGTAAACCACTCACCAGGAACATGGGCCTATCGATAGCTGTGTCAAGTCCAAGGAAACCATCCTTGAAGAGAGGATGGCTCTCCAGCGCTAGAGCGGCTGGCCAAGTATCTCCTCCACGCGGAACTCGGCAGCTTGGTGGGAGCAGCCGATCGATCGGCAGGCGGGGAAATGGGAGGACGCCACTTGCCGCTTCCCTGCCCCTGTTCCCCCTACAGAGGATTTCTTTTTATTCCCTGACAAGGAGCATCAGAATAGCTACCACAACTGCTTCCACAGCTACTCCAGCTTGCAATTTCTTAGGTGCTTTTCTCCAAAACAGATTCAAGACAACTTACAAGAGAATGAAACCTTGCAACCTTTAAAACAGTTATTTAAAGGGGGGACTATCCGTATGAAAGGTCCTGTTTGTCCCCAAAAGAGTCCTGACTGCAATCCTTATGCACGTTTACTCGGAAGTCATTCCCAGTGAATTCAGTGGGGTTTACTCACAGGTAAGTACGCCTAGGATTGCAGCCTCAATGAATCTCTTCAGTTCTATCATCAAGCCTGGATCAGCTCTAAGGTCATTTCTAGGCAGCACATTTAGAACATTTCTAGCTATCATAACTTTCCTGTCTGAACTTGCACAGCATTGCACCTGGTGGTGGTGGATGCTAATGGTCAAAGCACCCCACCTGCAGACGCACTGCACCCATGGACTGAAGGACAGCAACCAGTCCCAGTCCAGCAGAGAGCAAAACCAGCGCCAGCTTTTAAAAGAACCACCGCAAGGTGGAGCTGAAATTACCAGTGATGAAAGAACCAGTCATAAAGGATCTAGAAACATCTCTTTTGCTTTTGCATCTAATGTTGTAAAATCAAGACATTTTGATATGCTGTAGATCCCTTCATGTATTATTCTTAAGTGGATCTTTTCTGCTTGGCTTTTGACCTATTTCAGTTCTTACTTGCTTTGCAGATTTAGTTGCGTTAACACGTTTTAACTCTCTCTGCTTCTATAATGTGTTCAGTTGGCTGTTTAATGCTATAAATTGCCTTGGGGCCCAAAAGGTGGCATAGAAATTATTTAATAGATCCATGCACCATACATAAATATTTTCCTGTCTATTTCCCGTTTCATGCTGAGATTTAGGAGGGGGAAGAACATTCAAACATCCAGCCAAGAGCTCCATCAATGTTTGATTTCTCCAGGCTCAGCTACATGAAAGTCTGTATTAGTGGAGCAAGAGATTAAAAGGACTAAGATGTGGGATTGCAAAGGGGTTGACATTTGGAGAACACTGGCTGGCCAGGCGGCCTTTATTTGTACGTCTCTTGGCAAGTGCAAACAGCAGGGCATCCAAAGCCACCAACTGTTTAGGGCAGGGCCTGATATTTCATGGGTCATCCATATTTATGATGCTGCAGTACCGATGGACAATTGCAATAATCCAATCTGGCAAAACACAGAACCCCCCCCGTTGCAAATGTGTTTTTGATTTGCAGCTTTAATTTGGGATTGGCTGACTCCAGTGGTGGGTTGTTCACATGTAGCCACTGATAAATCTTCTGCCCCAAGCGAGAGCGATACTTGCCCCCTACCCACTCCCCACACACTCTTGTGCCCCTATTAAAATCAAATATCTGAAAGCGTGTTCACCCCTCACGAAATATCACTCACCCTTCAACTCTTCCTAGCCGTGTTGTCTGAGAACTTCCTAATCCTTGGAAAGGAGAATTATTTCTCTTGCACTGTCTGTGGGAGTTGGCAGGTGTTTTTTTAAGCTATTATTTCTCCCGGTAGCTTTATTTCCTGTTACCATTCTCCCCCTCACGCATTTGTCTCTACCTGCAATTAATAGAACAAAAGAAGGTTAATAAAGCAAAGGGTTTCCAAAAGGGCAAGCTCCCACAAGTGGGAGATCTTAATCAAGATGTAAATTGGAACATGTCTTAATGAAAGAAGCAACTCAGCCTTCCCGCTGAAAGCTAGAAGCTGGGTTCCTTGTGCTATGGGCTTGGATTAGGACAGGGGTGATGTGGGGGAGACTTGGCACACCATAGCCCTGCCCTACAGTCAGTTGCATGTCTGCAGCTGCCATCCGTCTCATCCCCTGATCTGGTTGCGAGAAGCCCCGACACCCTCACACACAATTAAACACAATTAACGAATGCCATAATTCCCTCCTGACTCACCTTTAGCTTGCAGGCGGTGTGACTCAGGAATTCAGGTAGGTGGGAGAATTACCTTGTAGGGAGTTTAGAGCCAAACCCCTAGAATCTGAATAAGAAGGTTTTTAGGAGGTTCAAAGGGACCAAGGAAGAACAAGCAGGGAACAAGATATAAACAAGCCAAGCACAAAGAACTGCAATGTACCGTGGCATGATACTTCTCATGTGGAGTTGAAGGCAACCGGACTGCATTGACATAACTTGCATGATACAGAGGGTTGTCATGCATGCGTTAATTAACCTCCAATTAGCTGGTTAATTAACAACCTATCAGAATGATTGGTAGTTGTGGCATGTTCAAGCCAGCCATCACATGTTAAGCAAGGGTTAAACAACCCCTACTTTACTCTTGGTTAGTAGGTGGGTTGAGTGTGGATTGTTTAACCTCAGATTAACCAAGATGTCCAGGTTCACATGACATGCTGCAGCCCTGGATCACTTGGATTAGGGGGTGAATATTTAAAAATGTAGTTCCACACACGCATGCAGAAGCTAATTATGAGTTAATTGACCCATGATAAGCCACTGCACTGTGCAGTGTGGCCCCAGGAAAGCTCCCTGTGTTCTGCCCAAGCTTGAAGGCATTCAAGCCTCGCCACAGCCTCAGCATTCCTGACCGTTCCCCGTGCTGGCTGCGGCTTGGCCCATCATCAGGAAGGGCCATGTATGGAGTGGAAATCCTGTGGTCCCTTTAATATGGCGGTAGGAGGAACACAGTGCCCTAGCTAGGCTTTCCATTGGCTGGATGATGGCAGTGGGAGTGGCCAAGCCTGCTGACATCATTACTTGAGCCACACCCACGTTCTCTTTTCCCACTCAGGGTAGGGGATGCAGTCCATGCCTCTTTCAGCAAAAAGAAAGGAACTCAGCTTGTTCTTATCCTGCACTGGCCAGTTTCATGCCACCCTCCCTTCCCGGTGTTACTGTGGCACGATTCAAGCAGCCTCCTCGAGGCAAACTGGGAAGCCGTCTTAAGACCATGAGAAGGAGGCCTGCCGAGAACGAGGATGTATCTACACGGACATACATCTGAAGCGCCGAGAATAACATCAAGGAAGAGAAATAAAGAGGCAGGCGGGCCTGAGACTACAAAGGCGTCACAGCAAAGGGAGTCAGTTCTAATGGCAAATGCTGGACGACTCGTGGCCAAGTCCCTCCTCTCATCTTCCAAGCGCCACAGTTCAGAGTCTCCAAACCGCCTCCGGTGCTTGTAGACTTCAGCGATCCTTCCTCTGTTTGCAAACATGCTGCAGCATGACGGGCCCCCAGCTGAGTTGCGAACGCTTCTCGCTTTTCAGTTCCCGACGAAACATGTATCCGAGAATGCTAGAAATCCCGGCAGGATGCGCAGGGCTTGGACCGTGACATTTTGGTGCCTGAGGCAGAAATCCAAACAGCATCCACTGACACACACTAATTAACGCACATCCGCAGGGAAGGAGGCACGGAAAACGGAGCAGAGCGGCGCAGGAGCAGGAGCTCTGATGTGGCGCTCTCGGGGCATCTCTGGCTGCCATCAGGCCAACCGTTTTCTAAGGAACCAGCAGCTCTGTGTGGCTTTGGGCCATTTTTTGAAGCCAGGCTGGGCAGGACAGCCAAGCCACATGCTGGCAACAGAAAATTAAAAAGTAAACATAAACATCCAAACAAAATCCAGGAGGTGTGATTTAGGCATACCTAGAGCAGACCCATGAATATCAGTGGCCCTTTAATTAGGATGAAGGTATGTTTCATTGAGGTCAAAGGGTCTAAGTGGGACTAAATCTGTATGCCAGCCAGAGTGCCAACACACTGGAGTCCTTTATGGGGCTCCTGTGATGGCCTGATCGGGTCCTTGCCAATGCCCACCTGTCGGGGCGCTTGTGTCAACCTCCCGAGCTGTCTCCATGTTCCACAGGGCAACCTGAGCTTTGAAAGGAGCACCAACCAGAAACTCCCCCAGAGCCCTCTGGAAACCATCAGAATCCATTAGCCTTTGGAGGGGGGCAGGAAATCATTTTAAGAGGTCCCCCACCCTTGCAGAGGGGAAAATTATCCAAAAGCCTAAGCCTCAAAAGGTGTTGATCTGACCATGATGAAGGAGGGAGTGCTAAACCTCTTTCCCAGCCAAGAAAACCAGATTGAGAGTGTGCTCTTTTGCATGTGTTGGTTGCCCGTGGTTTACGCCGTGGTTGTTGCGGAGGCCATGAAATGCTGAGCTGCCCCGGATAACGCAGCCTCGGCATGGAAGTTCAAATCCCCAGAAGCAACAGCAGCAGGTCCGAGACCACCTCCGTCAGCTCAGGCATGTGACACAGAAGGAAGCTGTTTGCGCAGCAGTTGACAGGGCTCAACTCCTGGTGAGCAGTGTGAATTTTAGAAACATAGAAACAGAGCAAGTCAAAAGGGGTCTCCCGGGCCATCTAGTCTGACCCCCGGCTCCAGCAGGCTCCGCTCATGACATGCCCACCATGTGCATGTCTAGCCTATGTTTGAACACCCTCACCGATGGGGCCTCAACCACCAATTTTCCAGAGTATTAGATGGCCCACCCAGCTTTGTGTCATCTGCAGAGCTAATAATCATTCCCTGCACTTCCTCATCCAAATTGTGAATTAAAACACTGAAGAGCACTGGGCCCGGGACTCAGCCCTGCAGTGCCCACGCGTTACCTCTCCCCAGTTTGAGAGTACCATTGATGAGCACTCTTTGAGTCCAATCCTGCAGCCAACTGTGGATCCACCGGAGAGTTGTTCCTTCTAGCCCACTTTTTGCTAGTTTGTTAATCAGGACCCTCAGGGCTTCAAGGACTTCACAAAGAATTGATCTTGAGTTCTTGTGGTGTTGCCAAAATCGTTTGTGGGGTTTTATAGTGGGGGAGACCTTATTCCTAAAGCATCTTAGGGCACAGCCCTACAAATCTTTAAGCAGAGAAAAGCTCAATGGCTCCTGGGCTTCTCCAGTCAGCTGGGAGGGGAATCCTGGTAGTTTGAGGAATTTTTTTCCTGGCTGCACATACATACAGTGCTCCCTTCAAATGAGAAATGAAAATATTTGTGAGGAGGAAAAAAAATGACTCACCATAAGAGGCTTTTTTGGGTGTTAGCCGGTGTCAATCTGCCTCCTATCACTTTAAATTAGCACCCCACGCTGATCGCTCCAGAGGTGCAGATGTAAGACAGCGGGAGAGCAAGAGAGACGGATTGAGGGTAGCGCCAGCTACAGCCGCAACAGAGATTGACGGTTGCTGTTGCTATTCTTGGGGCTGATAATTTAGCACTTCGAATAAGATGGAAAGAGAATGGTAATGAGCTAAAGAAAGCGAAAGAAAATTTACTTCTACTTTGATAGATTCAGTCATAGAAAAGTCTTTGCACGATGGTTTTGACCCAAATTCTGGGCTGCTGTCTGTTTACAGGGGTGGGCAACACATCAGCTTCCCTGGCTAATTTTGCACGGATTGTGGTGGTGGCGGCAGAAGTAGCGGCGACCTGCCAGCCCCCCGCCCCGCCCTCAGCACCTTCCTTTAGGATGAAAGACTTGGGAGCAAGCACTTGTTGGAAATAAGAATTGTGCTCCCAGAAGCTTCCAGAGAAGCAGGTGCAAAATAGCAAAATTTAAAGCAAAATGGCCACCGTTATATTATTGTTATCATCTTGCCAATAGAGCATCCGCACCAAAGTCGGCTTGCTGCAGGCGGCAACCGCGGCAGAGGCCAGAAGGGTTATGTGCCCCCGGGGGGCTCTGGGGGGTGTGAGATTGGTGGGCCTAAATTGTAGTTAGGGGTAGACTAGTAAGGGATGGTCCCCTTGAATTTTCTCTGCCCCCCATTTTTGCAAGCAATTTAACAACAAAGCTGACAATGTGGTCTTGAAAAGACCTGCATCCAGGTGAATGATCCCCCTGCAGACTTTGGACTGGGTGCAGGCCTAGAAATTGGCCTGCAGACCTGCAGAAGTTGCTCACTGCCGTATACCCCATTTGAGCTTAGACCGTAGACTACGGTCATAGGATTTTAGGATTCTCCCTGATCCTAAAAATCAAAAATAGTGTCAGCATTTGCTCTCATGTGCCTTGCAGCCTTTCTAGCTGGCCTCCTGGACCCTGACAGATGGTGGCCATGTATCCTCTTTGGGAGAGGCCAGTCCTCTATTTGAAGGGCTGCCAGTAGACAGGCACCCTCTGAATAAAGGACTGTCCAGCTCAATTACAATTTAAAGATAAAGAGCCATTCGAAAGAAGAACTGGGCCTTGACGTTGTCCATCCAAAGTAGCTTGACCAAAGATTGAGTGAGGTATTTGAGTCACTTAGCACCATTTCTTTGTTATATTTATCCCACCTTTTTCCTTCCCAAGGAACTCAGAGCAGCTTACATCAATCTCCTCCTCCTGCTCTTAATCTTATCCCCACAACAACCCTGTGAGGTAGGCTGGGCTGAGACTCTGTGGCTGGCCCAAAGACACCCAGCTGCCTTCATGACCAAGCGAGGACTAGAACCCAGGTTGCCTGAATCCCACACTCTTAACCACTACACCCCTATGCTCTCTAGAAATGTACTGCACTTCTATTTACATTATTACCACTAAACATGAATAAAATGTGCATAATCTCCTTTAGTGATTTACCACTAAGTCAACAAACGACACAAAATGGAGGCCAGCCGCGAAGTCTTCCCTGAATGCTTGGAATGGAATGAGGTCTTACTTATTGTTATTTCAAAAAACATGTGAACTGCTTTCCTTTCTGGATCAATTTTTCACTGTCCAGGAAATTAATCGAATTGCTCTCTATTACTTTCAGAGATGAGAGCATGCCACAAGAGACAACCCTCCAGAGTAAATCAGAAAGTATCAGCTTCGCGTTGGACCGGCGGCAGGGGCCGCGCCACGCCACTGCGGAAGCACTTCCTGCCACGGGAAACGGGCGTCCCGTCGGCCTGCACTTCCAGCCATCAGAGCGACGAGCGGGAGAGCCCCGGTCCTTGCCGTCTCTTGGCCGACCCAGCCATTCGAGCCTTGGCAACAGGCCCTCCCCGATTCCCCGCTTCTTCCGTTCCTTGCTGATCTCACTAGCTGAGGAGGGCTTTCTGTTAGCACATAATATTGTTTATTCTAAAGAGAGGCAATTTGTAGTTGGAACATTTCAAGCATTTACAAATGAGCTGATATTGTTGCCGCCAATGCTTCCATGGCAACCACTAGATGCGTTTTTTTCTGCTGCTGGGGCTGCATCTTAATAATTCATATATCGGCTTCGTTCACACGATCCAGGATTGGGACAGGCCCAGGCAGCCACTGCTGTGACTTACCTGGGCCATATGAAATATTCATACCTGAAGGAAAAGAGAAAGAACTACTTTCCCTTACCCCAGATAATTGAGTCAAAAACCTACTGAGGCCTCACTTCATTATTATTAAATTATTATTATTATTTATTCCATATCTACAGTGCCTGTAGCCAAACTTCTATACCAGAGGTAGAAAGAGTTGCGCAATGGAAGAGCCACTTGCGGTAAATGTCAAGGTGTTTGAGAACCACAAGTGTGTGGCAAGCAAGCACTTGTGCACGGTGGCTGCAGCGGGCAAGCCATAAAGTCCACTCAAAGAGCCACGTGTAGCCCAAGAGGGTGTGTTTTGGCCTCCCCCGCTCTACACCACACCTTCCAGAATTCCCAGAACGTGTGACCCACCGACTACTGAAATCTGTGAGTGGAAATCATGCATGGACCTTCCAGTGCTTGAGCTCCTCTTCTCTAGTCCTTAACCTATGACAAAATCAAAGCCAGGAACTGAACAGTTCAGTTTAACATTTGTATACAATTAGAACCGAAACAGAAGGCAGTGTCACAAGAATCAGCACAAATATAGTAATAAAGATGTGCCAGAAGCATTAAGATACTTCCTATTGTCAGAATTTAAGTGCTTGTTCTGTTCCTTTTGATCACTTTTATCTAGACACTGTCTGTTTGCCACTGAGTTTTTTAAGGTCATCTCAAGTTTGGAAAGGTATATCTAAGTGATAGTCTATCCTCCCCCCCACCCCCTGCCCCCTGTTCTTTTCCTTTTGGGAAGGAGAAAGTGTTTGTTGTTCTGCTCTTACCTAGCCAGTTCCTGTTTGGCAAAGGAGCTAAAATCTTGCAAATTCATCTCATCTCAGGTTTATCTCATGGCTGGCTTTAGGCTTTTTTCCCGTTATATTGCTATGGGAGGTCAACTTCCAGATTCCCAAACTGCAGAATGTATTTATTTCTTACATAGTTTAATAGCACCAAATGGCCAAAGCACAAGAGTGGAGAAGCAAGAGAGAAAGATCCTACAGCATCAATCAGAAACTTCCCAAGATCCGTGTTCTATCTCTCCCAAGGTCTTGATTCTGTCCTATCTTAGTCCACTTGTAATATCCTACTCAGGTCATCACTAGTTCAACTCCTTGGGACAAGTTCTTAGGATCAGGTCATAGCCTAGCTCTCGTGGAAGCAGAACTGGAAGGCTAAAAGGTGATCAAAGGTCCAAAGACACTTCAAGAAGAAATGTTTTCCTTAGCTGTCTGATCAGACTTCAACGTAGCTACTGTAACTTTGCCAGCCCCCATGAGAGTTTTCAGACACAATTCCCAGTCTTCTCCTGGCCTTTCCCTGTGCAGTTAGGAGTTGCTGGCTCAAGTTTTAGTCAAATCCTGGAAACCCATGAGCAGGTTGCTAGTGAGACCCTTCTTAACTCTAATAAGTGAGAGTACTAAATATATGAAAATTTGTCACAGCTTGTTCTGGCTATGTTCTTTCTGTGTTAAGGAAGAGTTTGAAATAGTCTTTTCTGTTCCATTGCGCTGACTTTGCACTTTGTCTTTATCTAGGAGTCTTTGTGAGGGCACTGAATACTTGAAGCAATACGGAAGTAGCGATTTGCCTTTGAATATGAATCCCATTAGTGTCAGGACAAAATGAGCGAAATATGGCCATTAAAAGCCTGACACTGTAAGAACAGCTTTAGACTTATGGTGGGAATCCATGCGGCAAGCCTTACTTCCCACATTTACCCTAGAATTGCTAAGCTTTGCCTGTCCTGATGGTTCTTCTTTCTGTATTGTGTTGTCCAAACCCCATTCAGGCCTTTTGCTTCATACTCACATGCCTCGAGCAAACGGAGTGTAACTGAGAGGTTATAAAAGCATTTATACAAGCCACGTGTATTTCCTGTATGTCTGAAAAAATGGTTCTTTGGATTGTGCACCTCCAGCGGACTCTCAAAGGGTGTTTTTTTTCACTTTTGTCCTTAAAAACCCTACATTTACAGCCATGTAGCTAAAAGGCGAAGACCTTTTTATTCAAATGTCATTTTAACTGTTAATACTATTTATTTATTTTATTTTTCGGCCAGGGCGACTTATTCTATATTGTTAACTTGTTTTATATTTTTATTGTATAATATTTTAATTGATATATTTGTGAGCTGCCCCGAGGCTTCGGCGAACGGGATGGCATAGACATTTTTCTAAATAAATAAATAAATAAATAAATAAATAAATAAATAAATAAAATAATGTACATTAACAGCACCCAGTGCACATGTAGAAAGCATGCATGGTGGGCAGAGGAATGCCGGGAGCTGTCAGAGTTTTACGTGTTTAAACATCTATTGGATTGAATCCTTAGAGTGCATAGAAAACAGAATGAGAAGAGCTAATAGTGGTTACACTTGTCGTGTCTTCGTCTCAAATATTCTTAATGGGATTTTCAAAGTAATCGAAACAATGCGTATATAGTAGTATAATTCAGCAATAATGCAGGGTAAACAAAGTATTTAAGTGCTTTGGCGTGGCTACGCCTTCCTCTTTTTTATGGACAAATGACATTTTATGGGTGAGGGTGTCCTCTCTGCCTTTCTATACGTTGCTATATGTTCCGTTACACAAAAAGGGGGCACTACATAGAACAGAGTTCTATGACTGAATGCTGTGGGAGGAAAGCCATCACCCAGCAGACAAGTGATCAGACCGCAAGTGTGCAGCTAGCAGGCGCCCGTGATCAGTGTTGTTTATGCAGACATGGTGTAACCATCTACATCCATTAGCAAGCCTTCTAAGCCACCTTTAGAAACAGCAGCCTTTCATCAAGTGCTATTATCAAGCCATCACACTCCACAGAAGCTGGTCATCTTTCCTCTTGACACCTCAGACTAACATTTCATTTATGGTGTTTAGGTTTTGCTGGCTTCCTGTTTGGTTTTCTCCAACAGCTGCTACAACCAGAAGGCAAAGATTTATTTGTTGCAAACAACATCTGGAGAAAGTGTGGATGTGCTTGGGAGTCTCTGCGGCTTCAAGACAGAGCCCACCAGCAAAACACAGCTCATTATTTTTCTCCTTTTGATGATACATCATACCAACATCTTGCAGGAGCAAACATGTGCTCTCAAACATGTGGGAAAAAGGGTCTGGCGGTTAATATCCAGGTGTTACTCCAGAACATCTGTATGATACACTCTGTCGACTATGCTCTTTGGTTATGAAAAATGTCCCCCGCCCCCAGAACTTCTAGATTTTCTTCTGACCTGGCTCTTGATGGGAGACAGCGTTGGTTGAATTATGGAAGGAAAGGGAAGGCCAGCCTTTCTACGCCCCTCACCCCTAGAAAATGTTTGATTCATGTCCGCACCCCCTACAAAAGTAATATCACATTTGAAGATGAAGAAGTCAAATTTGTACTTTCTGAACACATATAGCGCTGTGGGTGAACAAACTGAACTAAAACAAGCTTTTAATTCAGTGCATAAAACTCAAATATAAATCAAGCAATTAAATCATAAACAGTAAAACCATTCCCAACTGCGAACATAAAATTCAACGAGTTATTTAATATTTTATTTTTGCCCTGCCCCCATTAGCCACGGAGCATCCTTCTTTGGTCCCACTTCTCAGACATGATTTTCTCAAAATGTGGAACTTTCTTAATAAGCCGCCCCGAGGCTTCGGCGAATGGGGCAGCATAAAAATGTTTTAATAAATAAATAAATAAATAATAAATTTCTTCTGTGGAACTTTCTTACTAGATTCCTAGATTTTGTCTTGATTGACAGAAGAGAACTGAATCCAAATGCAAATAATAATAAATAATTTTGTTAGTGGGATAATTTCTGGCAAAAAGCTAATTTGATTCGCTAATTTTGGTGAATCATGGTGCAACCTTCCTCTTCGTCACATCCCCTGAAATGTCATCTCGCACCCCCTGGGGGTGTGGACACCCCAAGTTGGGAACTCTTGCCATGTTCATCTCTACTGGCATTCTGGCCTGATTCAGGCTGCAGGGTGGAGTGACCTCAAGAACTCGGTAAGCTAGGTCCAAGGCTTACTTAAAAGGAGGCTTTATTGAAATACACACAAATTACTCCAAAACGCTAGCATCTCAAAGGGTTGAGCAAGCCAGGCACTTATAACACTCAAGCATCACCATAGAGAGGGGGAGTGAAAGGGGAGAGAGGGCCTCCAAAGCATCACCATAGAGAGTGAAAGGGGAGAGAGGGAGGGCCTCCAAAGCAGGCCTTCCTGCCCTGCCCTTCCAGAGAGGAAAATCTCTCCAGCGTTTCCTTGCTGAAAAGAGGCGGCACTGATGAGTTGGGCATGTGGGGCTAGAGATGTTCGTGTTTTTTCCATTTTCATGGGAGGTCCTGCACCTCTAACCCCTGCGAGTGTGATGGGCCAGTATACGTGATCCAGCTTACATACAAATTTGACTTTAAGGACACATTTCTCTTTTCTCAGGAACAGAACTCGTTCACAACCCGGGGACTACCTGACCTGCACATATGCGTGTTTGCTCCCCACTGATACTTGTATATTTATTTTTAATGCCATAAAAAGGTCAGTATCCCCTTCCCATAAGGAAACTGACCAGGTAATGCAGGGCAGGACCACTTGTGTGCCTCCCATCAACCCTTAGCATTGACTGCTTGTTGGGGTTGATGGGACTTGCCATCCTCCAAAATCCAAGGGGCCACAAGTTTCCCACTTCTTGTGCAGGCTAACCACCCCCAACCTCATGCTCCCCAGATGTGTTGGGCTACAGCTGTTAGCATCTGCCGCCAGCATGACCTCTGGGGCTTGTAGCCCAACGTATCTGGGAAGCATCAGATGTGGGGAGACGAGCTAAAGCCGGCCTTTTCATGGAGCGTCCTGCTGTTTGGGAATGGGGCCTGCTGCACACAGACACATACTGGCCTGGGCTGGAGTCCTGCAGCGAAGATGCGTTGTCTCTCCGTCAGACTCCCGCTGCATCGCCACTTTCTCTGTTCAGTTTTATCGTTAAACAAGTTGGGCGAAAGATGAAGCAGCAGCTCCAAGCTGGAGGGGCTAGGAAGCATCTTCTTCCTGCAATAAAAACGAGATATTTCTACTTAAGCTTGCAAACGACCTTCCCCGTTTAAACATTAACTTTGCAGCAAACAAACCCCAGGGAGCATTTGTCGGGTTTTAATAATTGATGCTTTTATTAATCCACAGGCAACATTTTGAATAACAAGCCTTTCAAAAATTACATTCCTCTCCTGTTTCAGGTCCGGGGGGTGAAGCCATGAACACTGGGTCCCCAAAGAGGAGAAAAAGCCTCGATTTACAGCCTGCAACTCCTGGCTGAGGTGCCTATTGCCCAGGGTCAGCGCTGTGATTGTGTGACATTAAGGGAGTCATTCAGTGCTTCCTCATCCTTTAAACAGGCTCAGAGGAACAAATGCAGCCCTGCACCAAACTTCTAAGAAAGCAGGAGAAAGAGACTGGGTTCAAACAGCAGGATAACCCACACTTAAGGGTTGCGTATTGGCTGCTGCTGAATTGTGGGTTGTTGTTGAACCATGGAGCATTGCATCGATGGGAAACAGCTGCCCTAACAAGCCATGATGCACAAGCCACTCCACAACCCAACAACGTACCCCAGATTTTTTCCCTGCATTGGTCTTGGTTAACAAGTCATGGCTTTTGCACACAGATGGGTTCAGACAACAACATAACGCACAGTTCAACAACAACGAGAGCCAGTGTAGTGTAGTGGTTAAGAGCATGGGTCTGGGACTCAGGCGATCTGGGTTCGAGTCCCCGCTCAGCCATGGAGCCCACTGGGTGACTCTGGGCCAGTCAGGTTCTCAGTCCAACCTACCTCACAGGGTTGTTGTGGGGAGAAGGTGGAGAGGAGGAGGAGAATGGTATAAGCCATTTTGAGTTCTTTGTAAGAAAAAAGGAGGGATATAAATCTGATAAATAAAATGTGCACACAATCCTTCAGTGACCACATTGTCTGAACCTAGTCAGAGCATGTGTGCATGAGAAAAAGACCACAAGAATTCCAGAGTCCCTTATTATGAGCAGGACTGATACATGAAGAGAAAAATTTGAAGGTTAGGGTTAGGCATAAGCACATCCATTCTCTCCAAATAATACTTCAGAAAATTGTGACCAAGGGGGTGGTCGCTCATCGCCATATGCTGGGGAGGGGAGGGGAGGGGAGGGGGGCTTCCCACTGCCAGCTTCCCACTGCCAGTAGCCACTTATGCATTGCTAGAAACAAACAGGAAATGCATTCATCGAAAGGAGGACAGAGGTTAACATATAATTTGCATATGTAAATGTTAGTGCTGCAGATTTGGAAATCAGGAATCTAAGTTAAAGCAGAACATAATATTATCATCCCAAAGAGAAGGACTAGGAATGGGTGACTTGCAGCCTTGCTCTGTCTGTGGCTAAATATTGCTGAGTGAGAGGGCAAGGCTCAGTCTGCCCTCTCATTTCACCATTTTTAGCTTCAGACTGGATTTGGGGTGACCAGACCCTCAGCTCCTATCCTGGTGCCTTCCAGACGGGTTATACTACAACTCCCAGAATCCCAGAGACCAGCTAAACTGGAAGGCTAAGCCAAGAAGAGGATGTCCTGAGCTAGAAGCTGGGACCTTGGTGAAAGAGAACTCAGGGCCCAAGGCCCTCCTGTTTCTGTGATGCAAACTGCTTTGATCGTCATTTTGGTTGGAGGGCGAGATTAAAATGTTTTAAACGAATGCCCATGTGCATAATCAGTCTTCTCCTAGCTGAAGAGTTTTGCAGAGAGATGAGAGGGAGAGGGAAGCATGTTTGAACTCGGGAGTCCCAGGGCTGACCTCCAACTTTGCTGAAATCCACTCGTGCTGGCCTGGCCACATGAACCTGCCACGGTGCGGCTTGGCCCTTACAGGAACACCTGGCCCGGCATGCCTGTCGGGCCGTTATTAGCAGCATCAGATCAAAGATTCAGCGCCTTCTCCAAATGACTAAGCGCTGCTTTTGTGTGAGTGCCTCCTTGGGAGACATTTCGGCTTTCTAAGTACCGAGGCGCAGCAAGAGCGAAAGACTGGCAGTTGAGCTGTTCCTGCTTGCCACAGAGGTACAGCGAAACCCCACAAAGCTCCTTTTCTCGCCGCCTCCGTCAGCCGCTGAGCTGAGTTCCTGTGGCTCTCTGCTGTTTTCTCGCTTTTCCATCCTTCATTGCATGGAATGAAAGGCAGGTGGGGGGGGGGAGGGGGAGGGCAGTACAGGCTTGAGACATAAAAGCTACGCAGCCCGTCATCATCCGTAGCGCCAGGGGACGAAGCGACGCATCACGGGGGTCATGTGATAACCCACCTGTCCTGTGTCATGACTCCCATGGGAAATGCTGGTCCACGGGGCTGTCAGGCCATCTTCGAGGGTGGCCTTATCTGCCATGAGATCAGTGGGTGGAGATTATTATATGCCGTTTTTATAAGCCGTCGCCTTGCTACATAGCCTCGGGACGGCTCACTAGGTTCTCCTTCTAGTGGAGGGACATGCTCCAGGTGGTTCTGTGGCACATGGAGTGCCCCGCCCAGGTCATCTCCAGGTAAGGCCAGAAGAGTCTGCCTGCAACACCGGAGAGCAGCTGCCAGCCAGTGTTGGCCTCGTGAGGTCGCGGGGACCCCCTTGGACTGCCCATGCTCCTGGGAACTGCAAGGATTTAACTGGAAGCTGACTGGGTTCCTCAACACACCTCTTCAGGTGCTGGGTAAGGCAGGCACAAAGAGCCCCCGAGGACGTCCCAGCCAGCTCGGCCCACTCACACAGGCCCTTCTGAAGGGGAGCCGGATGCACCAGGCTTCCTGTCTCCCAGATCAGCATGCCTGAAGACAGGGCCCACGCGTGTGACGAGGGCTTCTTCAGATCCCTGCAGGGCTTTGTGACATGCCTGGTGGAGGGGTGCACAGCCCTGGAGATTGACAAGCCGCCACAGACCACCTGGGGAAAGCGGGAACCTGGGAAGTGTGTGTGTGAGAGAGAGAGAGAGAATGCATGGGACAAATGTATATCCCTTCTATGCTACCAAATAGCCAAAGCTTTCTGGGTGATTCATAAAATTACCACCTCAAAATCTGACAATAAACACACAAGATTTTTTAACGTATAATTTTTGAAGCACTTTAAAGCAGTTAAAAGCAGTGGGATTCAATCCTGGGACCTAATGAAACATCTATTAAACGCTGCTGCCAAATGCTCTGCGTGCTTGTGTGTTTGAAGGAGGGAGGGAGGGAGGGGATGGATGGGGTCCTGGGAGTGCCCACTTTGGTGGCAGCTCCTCCCTCTGCTGGGATACGACCCTTGACAACTCGGCCCAGGGTCGCTTTGGCCCTTGGGCTTAAGAAGAAGGTTCCCCTGTTTGGCTGTAGACCAACCGGCTGCTAGTTGCAGAAGGACAGACGGGGGCTTTTGTTCCGGTCCTCCGAGAACCCCCTGTGGCACGTGGCCTGCCTCACAGGGACTCACCTCCCGTTATACTCAACGTGCGCCAAAGGCTTCCCCCTTGAGGAGTCCATCAAATGCATAAGTACATTTCCTGAAAGGAGGCATGTCTGGAAACCAGCGTCACGGAACAGCGTGTGCCCATTTTAGTGCATTGTCTCTACAAATACACGGGTTCCTACAGCTAGTCACTGTTATTTATTTTAATGAAAGCTCACAATCCCTGAAAGGGCGACAGCCCTGAATTAATTTGGAAGAAGTTGGCGAGCACCAGCCGATCTCTCTCTGTCTCAACATGAGCATCCCCTCCGTCTGCAGAGGACAGCGCAGGGTTGTTTTACGAGCTAAGGAGACTGTGGCTTCTTTTTAAAAATGTCTTTCATGTGCTGTGGCCTGGGGACACAGATAAGAGGATGCAGCAGGAGGATGATGGGCCCCTGAGCCTCGCAAGCGCAAGGTGGGGGGATGGCTTGATGCGGGGGCAGCTCGGAGGGCTTCATGCAGGCAGCTGGTGCCTGCCCTTCTGCAGTGCAACCACTCTGGAAGAAACCAACTCTGGGCCTGAACTGCTGCCTGGCTGAAAAATGCCCCTTTTCCATGCTGAAGAGGGCTGTGGTGCAGCAGCTGAAGGCACTCCCTAAAATTCCCAGTGCGCTAGACAGGAGTGGGCAACATGCAGCCACATTTGGCCCCCAAATTCATGTTGACTCTCAGGAAATTTGAGTCCCCCATGGCTAGAGAGCTCCAAAAGGATTAAAATGGGCCTGGGAGTTCATTTGGGCACTCTGTAGGTCTTATGGATGCCATTAAAAAAAATTAGGACTTACAGCCATGGGGGGAGGGTGTGAGGCTTGCAAGAGAGAGCTGGGGGAGCAAAAGCCCCCAGGACCTCTCAAATTTGGCCTCCCCTATAGATGCCTATTTCCAGTTGAGGTCCAGTCCCTTCATGGGACTGGGTCAGCTTCTGTTGGCCAGAAGGGTGAGCTTCCCTGAGAGAATGCCACCTTCTTCTTCTCAGTCTCTAACCGGCTTATGAGTCCTTCAGCCATGGGATCCTCCAGAACCAGCTGTGTGGGCTGGCCGGGGTGCTACCATGCTCTGCTCCAACCTGCCAAGTTGGCTGCTGAGAGAGACCCTCAGTGGGCATTCCTCACTCGTCAAGAGCTGTGAGGGTCTGCAGGCGCCCACCTGTCCCCAGGCACCACCACTGGCAATGAGAAATTTTGGGCCCAAGGGCTGTGTTAGAACTTGCACGGAACAGGGCAAAATACCTGAAGAGCAAACTGGCAATATTAAGAATACAGCACAAAAGGCTGTTGACATATTATTACATGTGTAAGGCAGCACACAATTAGAACAATTAGAACATAGTTTACCTCCTCCTCTGACAACCTTCTCAGAGCACCCCCACCTCCCCCACCTCCCAGGACTGGGAATTGTCTGTCCTCCCTCCATTCATACCGCATCCAAGGACAACCCTTTCAAGACGCAACTCAAACACTCATCCTTGGCCTGGCTCCTTCTTGTTCTCTCTTATCTAGGACCAGTTCTCTGAGAGCTACGTGCACTCAAGTTTTTTCTTTAACTCTGTATTTGTTAGAACAAAGAAGGCATCATCTTCTCCAACAGCTGCCACTACGCTGACGACATGCAGGTGGGTCCACTTTGGATGTCTGGCTCAACTGTGGCTCTGCAAACCTGGAATCAGTGTCTGGATGTAATAATGGGCTGGATAAGGGCCAATAAACTGATGCCAAAGAATGGCAGGATGGAGGCCCTTGGGTGGGTGGTTCCCAAGTCCAAGGCACAGGCAGACTACCTGCTTTCAATGGAGTTGCAATTCCTTTGGACAAAGAGGTCCATGGTCTAAGGCTAGTTTGGGTTCCATCTCTGCCACTGGAGGGGTGTCCTCCACCCTGTCACAAATAGGGTGTCCTTAGGAAATGGGGTCCTTTAAAAACATGCATACACAGAGACTTAATTGTACACCTAAATTAGCATATGCACATTTATTTGTTTGTTTTCATTCTGTGAGCCTGCACCCTGGATCTTTTCCGTAGCTAGCACCACCTTGGAACAGATTCATTGGACTTATGTCCGTCATAACTAACTCATGCCCCATTGATTTCAATGAGACTAATTTAGGTAAGACTAAATCTTGATCCAAGCCCTAGAGTTTGCAGATTTATGGAGCTGCATTTATAGTTCATTAGAAATGCACGGGCGCACACACCCCATTAGGCTTCTGCTGAATCAGAGAACAGACTGGCTTGAATTAGCCGAAGCAATTTCCGAATGCATGTCACCTTTCCAAACATGGCACATTCCAAATAAAGATTCAAACATTCTTGTCCAAGAATAGCTTTCACTTCTTTGTGAGGTCATTTTGTCCAGCCTAATTTTAGAGGGAAATAATTGCAATAATTACGCAAGAAACTGCCTTCCAGTCCATACAGAAGATAAGATGTTTAAAGCTGTGAAGTGTTAGAAAGGAAGACTTACTTGTTCTGCCAACACAGTCCTAAAAATAATGCCTTGCTTGAACTGCCAGAGATGGGAAACTTTAAAAATAAAGGGGGGGGGTGGCCACCCTCTCAACTGTATCGGATTAGCTTTTCCACCCCACACATAATTTCTTCCTGAAAATGATTTGCTCCCATGGTCTGATCAGGTGGCATATCAGAGGAAACAGGATTCAATTACGGTACAAAGACATGCAGATAGTTTATCTGCCTCTGTAAAGAAAATACTATACTAATTAGTGTTTTGAGCAAGCACCTTGGCTTTCCCTCCAGAAGCGGCGAAGTCTTCTGTATCTTATTTAGTCCCCTCCGCCCTCAAAGGAGCTCAGGCTGGCACGCAAGCACTTTCCCAGCTTGGTTCCGTCCAAATGTGCCAGAAGACAAGCTTCATCCCTCCCAGCCATCCTGGGAACTGGCTGAGAACAATGGGAGCTGTAGTTCAACAGACCTGCGCCACAGAGGAAGCTTGGTACATGAGGATCCCCCTTCCCATTTGATTCGCACAACAAACCCGGGAGGTGTGTGAGGTTGTACGTCTCGTGAGGCTGGGTCTCCCGGCTCGGTGCATCCCCCCCAAGCACCGGGTCGCGCGGCTGCAGGGGGCAAGGCTGGAGGCCCAACGCAGCGGGACCAAGGCGCTACCGGGTGCGGCCGGAAATAGCAGTCCGCCTTGCTGGCGCTCTTGCCGCCCGCAAGGACAGGCTAGGAGGCGCTGCGTCGCCGTTTACAGCGCGGGAAAGGTGCACCAAAGGTGTGAAACGGGGAGTGGTGGTGGAGGGGGGCCTCCAGGGGGGTTCTGGGGGGCCAGACCGGCGCACCAGCTGGGCCAGACTTGCTTTCGCTGGGCAGACCACAGCTCCACCCAGCTGAGCGTTATTTAGGCCTCTTCCATGGTTTCCCCCATATGTCTCAGCAGCTTCTTTCCTGGGGTGTGTCCCACGGCCACCATAGGCGCGGTTGGGCACCTGCCGAGCCGAGCCGAGCCGAGCGAGCTCTCGGACCCTAGCAGGGGCCCACCGATAAAAGCCCCGGATAAAAGTCCCGCTCCTACCTTTCTTTCCGCACTGCCACCTGCTTCTTGCTCTGGCCCAGATGTTGGTGGGGAAAGGAGGGGCAGCAGAGAGAAACCCAGGCTTCCAATCAGCAGCTTTCCCTTCTTCGGAGTGTGGCAGTAGAAAGCATCAGACTCGGATCAGCTGGTGGCTGGCTTTTCTGTGGGTCCTCCCCATTCCTTCTAAAAGGTTAAAACGCCCCTCCAAGTCTTAGTTTAGGCACCTGCGCAGGCTGCCAGCCGGTGCCCAGGTATTTGCGTGCAAAGCCTTATATGGCCTGGGATCAGGCTATTTGAAGGATTGTCTCCTCCTGTGTACACCTGCCTGGAGTCTTAAGCCTGTGTTCAGTGGCCCTTCTGCGG